AATTCCATCTGAAACAGTACCTCTCTGAGAAACGACCACTCGACCCTATCATATGCTTTGGCCATGTCTAGCTTCAGCACGAGGTTCGGGGTTCGTGTTCGATTTGCATGAGAGCTCTCGTGTATCATCTCCTGAGCCAGTAGGATATTATCACTAACGACTCGATCCTTGATGAATCCACTCTGGTTCAGAGAGACAAGGTGGGGGAGGAGAGGGGCGAGGCGACCGTTGAGGATTCTAGAAATGATCTTGTTAGTCACGTTGCATAAGCTGATAGGTCTATAGTCAGACCAAGAACTAGGTCTCGATCTCTTCGGGATCAATATGATGGAGGTTGCCGTGAAGGACTCTGGCATCTGGTGGCCAGAGAAAAAATCCCTCACAGCTTCCTCTACGTTAATACCCACAATCTCCCAGCAAGACTGAAAGAAAATGGATGAAAAACCATCTGGTCCGGAGACGCTGTTGGGATCAATCCCAAACATAGCCTCTCTGACTTCCTCCTTACTCAGGAGGTCACAGAGGTCGACAAGGTCGACCGACTGCGGGATGGTCGGAAAGAGGACCGAGTCAGGGTGCGTAAGCAAATCCCGCTCAGAGGAAAAAAGATAGTGGAAGTAAGCCCTACCCGACTCCCGTATCTGGGACTCCTGGGTCACGGATGACCCGTTATCCTCGACACTATGGATATACGACTTGACTCGCTTCTGTCTCACGAATCCTTAGAAGAACTTGGTATTACGCTCTCCCTCATCCACCCAGCGCACAGCATCCTTCTTCTTCCAGAAATCTTCCTCCATGAGGAGGCGCAATTGGTACTCAGCATGGCAGCGACGCATCTCGGACCTATTCTCTGGCGAAGAATCCAAATCATAGGTCCGTTCTGCCTCCGCATACGCAGTCTGAGCTGCAGTAAGGCGCTGAGAAATGTCACCAAAAATTGTCCAGTTCCACTGCTTCAAAACGCGGCGAAGTCTCTTGAGCTTCTCCTCCAGGTTGCGCATCCCATAGAGGTGCGTAGCCTGCTGCCAGGAGGCTCTAACAGTATCGTAGTAAGAATGGTGGCAGACCCACATGTTCTGGAAAAGAAAGGACGCTCGCTGAGGGAAAATAGAGAACCGACAACGAATCAAAAGGGGGGCATGGTCGGATCCAATTCGAGGAAGGTGCGTTACAATCGTAGTCGCTAACATCCTCGTCCACGCCTCTGAGTAGAGAGCGCGGTCGAGCATCTCCTTGACTCTGTCCCACTCCCACATAAAGGGAGCCCCTTCGTAACCAGCGTCGATGAGCTTACAATCTGATACAGCATGCGAGAAATCTAAGATCTCCGCAGAGCGGTCCGATACACCACCAATGCGTTCATCGGGATGCAAGAATATGTTGAAATCACCACTAATCATCCACGGTAATCCCTCCATACTCTCAGCAATCTCACGCATGGTATCCCAGAGGTCATAGCGACCAACCCTTGCACAGTTGGCGTAAACCAATGTGTGGAAGATCGGCTCCAGAAGATGGGCGGCGGTGAGCTGCACGTGCAAGACTTGATCAGTATCTCGAAGGATCTGACAAGTAAAGTCACGCGAGTGGAAAAATCAAATCTTGTTAGAGGTGTTTTCCAACCCGGCATGACAACCAAGGCGTCGCGAATATACGTCAAAATAAGGGTCACGAGTCATAGGCTCTAAGTAAGACGCAAAGTCAAGGTTATGCTCACGAATGAGAGATCTAACATAAGCAAGGGTGGTCCTATTAGCCATACCACGGGCATTCCATGTAAGCGATGTGACTGACATGTCAAACGTCAGTGGGACCGCCTAACTGGAGCTGTTCGTGGTTAGGTTGTGTCTGTATGTCTGGTAGGGTCAGAACTCGGCTAGCAGAGAGCTGCGCAGTCATCGATCTAGTCTGTAGTCTCCGGTGCTCTGGGATCTCTTGGAAAGGTCCCCTTCGTATAGGGGGAAACTCCTGGGGTAAGAGGATGAGCTGTAGGTGCTCCAAGCCCTCGGAGCTCTGCGCCTGGCCCTGTGGAGAAGACGGACCAGACCTGCTAGTGGGGGATGAGGGGAAAGTGGAAGGGAGTGTCAGAAAGGGTCGAGCTGGTGGGTAAGGGAGTGAGATAAGGTGGGGGGAGGGCTCTACGATCATGAGAGCTGAGGAGGAAGGGGGAGCCTTAATACACAATGGAATGGCAGGAGACTCAATCTCATCCACTAATAGATCATCATCATCAAAAGGGGAGCTGGTCGATGCTCCCAGATGGTCGGAGAAAATGTGAAACTCCTCCTCCGACTCCGAGTCAAGCACAGAGAAGCGGGAATGGGTAGCTATGAGAGCTGATTGGAGGGACTGGTGGGGGAAAAGGCCTGTAGCTTTGGCCTTAGGCCTATCGAGGTTAACCTCCTTGGGTTATGTGCCCTCAAAGGTGACCTTGCTCTTGCCCTTTTTTCCCTTCGCGTCGGGGTCGTGGGTCGGGGCCTTGCCCTTCTCCTTAGGGCTCCTCAGGGCGATAGTAGAACCCTGCCTCACTACACGTCGACGGGGGGACAGAGCAGGTCGGGGCTTGTTGCCCTTAGTATAGCATTTTGTAGCCCCATGTCCTACATGACTGCATAGGGAGCAAAACGGTGGTACTCTCTCGTAGACCACTTTCTGGATAGTGGTCTTGCCCGCTTGGTCGAGCTCAATCTCCTTGATGAGCTCATCCTTAAGATCAACCTCTACGCACACCCGTGCGACAGATAACCTCGAGCGGTTTGCCATAGCGGCATAAGTTTCAATGGGGTTGCCAATGCAACTGATAATCGAAAAAAAGGCAGAAGGGTCGAAAAGGTGTGGTAAAAGTCCCGGAAAGCAGCACCACACCGAGACTATGGGAGATTCCTCAACAAAAGAAAAATCCTGGGTATATTTAAACACCCGACCAGCACATCCAAAGATATTGAGATGCGTCTTAATCCAAACCGAGTTGTAGTCCTCTTTCAACTCAAAAAAGAGTAAATAATGATTATAATTCAAGAACTTAGGGGTCAATCTACCCTTGAAACCCAATTTGACCAAACCGACAGATAAATCCCAGAGGGAAGGGACAGTGAATGAAAACTTCAAAATGAGTGCATTATCCAACGACCCAGCTAGGGAAATAACAGTGGGCTCAGGGAAACTTACCTTGAACCTGCATGCCCTCCTCAAACGATTATTATCTACTGAAAGTTTATTATCTTCATATGACATCACATTACTACTCATTTTATAATTTATACTATAAAATTCACATTTTTAAAATTATTTTGTCCTTCCTCCAAAAATGGGAAACATATTTTTTCAATTTACCTTTTTCCAATTATCTGCAAAACATATATATTTTTCTTTTTTTGAAAAATCGTTCATGTTTTTCCAAATTGATGTATTTAAGTTTGAACCAAGAACTGAGGCTGAGTATGAGACTCGGAGAATTCTGAACTGTTCCAAAAACCGAACTGAAATCACTCCGAACCGAAAAATAATCGTTGACCGTTTAACTTTATCCGAACCGAACCGAACCGAACCGAAAAAATAATTGGTACGGTTCTGGAGATTTCACAAATATCCGTACCGAGAATTGAACCGAACCGTCTCGTACTGTAGCGAACCGAAGAACCGAAATTAAGAACCGAATTATAACATTAGATGTGTTATTAATATATTTTATTTCAACTTTTGCTTCTATATAATATAGCAATAAATATTAACTTTCACTTAAATTTCATGCTTAATAATAGTTGATCTACAATTGAATTTTTTCTATTATAGAATAATTATTTAAAATAATATGAAAGTTTAAAGAATATTTTTTTAAGAAAAAAAATATTATATTTTATTTGAATTTTAAATTTTCAATATTAATTGCACAAATTTAGTTATAACTAAAATTTAGAGTTACTTAGAAAATTGGTTTCAAAATAAAATATTTAATGAGAGGAAGTACTGATAAATGTTAGTTTTATTAAAGCATATAAAAATTAAATAACTTATATTTAGAGTTACTTTTAGAATTGATTTCAAAATAAAATCTTCAATATGATGAATTATTGATGAATGTTATTTTTTTAAAGCATATAAAAATTAAAATATAACTAGGTAGTCATTCAAAAATAATTTAAAAAAAAATAAAGAAATTTCGAATATCCAAACAAAACCATACCGAAGCGTCCCAATAGTCCCGAAACCGAACGGAAAAATAAGAATCTCCGAACCGAACCGAATCGAACCAACTTTTTGGTACAGTTCTGGAAATCGAATTTTGGGATCTCCGAAGTTTGGTACGGTTCTAGAAATTTATCAATCTCCGAACCATACCGACCCACACTCACCCCTACTGTATATCCGTATCTGACAAGTTTGCTGACGTTTGATACTATATGCGTATTATACCTAATAATTATTGAAAGATGTTGCGGTCCCGTTACGGAGTCATTCCGTCGGGGTTTGTAAACGTTAGATCAACTATCTTTGACGGGTACATAATTATTTAACGGTTACAAACCCCGACGGATTATTCCATAACAGGACTTTAGCATTTCCGAGCACGGCATCGTCTACAAGCCTACAACAAACTTATAATTTGAATCAATTGACCAATACTCGGTGCATGAAGCTGATATTTTTATGTATGTTCTTGAGCTTCAGTTTTATACAACCAGCAAACCAAATCAAATGACACGGCTAGCCTACCCAAGTACAGCATCTGCAAATTACATAGTTCCTGTGAAATTTTTTTTTTTTTTTTGGTTGATAATAAAAGTTACAATAACACCACAGCGGCTAAGTAGAAAGGAGTCTCGGAACAAAATCGGTGAAGCCAGAACACTATTCTAATGTGGCCAAAGACCAAAACCACACAACAAAACGATAATTTCATGTGTAGGTGAATGAGTTACGGAAAAAACGTAGCAAGGATAAGAAGAGCACTTGTAATTTTAGAAACCTTCAACAATTTGTTGGGAGAGTCGTACGACTCAAAGGTATTTTTCTAGAAAATTCTTAGTTCTCTTCCTCATTCGTGTGAAAAGAATAACGGCACAAGCTAAAACCCATGGAGGAATGCGACCACCTGAGAAGTTTAACGTTTTGGCCCATTCTGGAGTCTCTTTGAGAACCATAACAATCATGAAGGTTATTAGTGCTACCCCTAGTAATATCTTAGTAATGGGCTTCAGCATTGAGTCCTGCAATTTTACAAGGATACAGTAAGTCCAAAAGTAATCTCAAGTTCTAAATGAGCTAACGCACAAAGCATAACCCAAATGCAATATCTGGCTCTGAAGAAGTATACTACCAATACCAAATTTAAGGTGCCTAAGTAAACAAAACTTTGTTGAACAAAGGCATCAGGGAAAAATGCCTTTCGTCAATAGACAGCACTAGGAAACTACTAAGGAACCTAGTATGATGACGATGCACAACAGTCGATGGCATCCTCATATATTTATAATAGACAATCAGTTACCTCGATTAAATAGTTATTACTTTCACAGGTTCAGTCTGAAGATTATACGGATGTAGAAATATTCAAAATATCATATGACATTGCCACATAATGCATCATCAAATGAGAAGGCAAAAAAAAACTAACAACTCTATGATTTATTGAATGCATTTTATAAACTTGTGCAACAAGACAACCTGTTCCTGTCCAGATATGGGATCCAAAGTGTTCGGAAACTGATGAGAAATAAAAATGTGCATGTACCATGACCTGCCGCTAGTCGTTCCAGTTGACTCATAGACCCTAGGATCTTTTGGAGACACTTAAATGTTCAGGTAAATCGCATTGTACAATTTTAATTGAATGTGCGACAGATTCAGTTTGACTACTTCAGGCAGTCTGTTACTCAAATGGTTATCTCTCTAGGAGCATTCAATGGATAAGTATTTTCAGCGTTCATCATGGATGAAGAATTAGACCATGCATGAGCATTACAAACCCCAGCTTTTTTATTTTCATCTTAATAAACTCCTTAATAGACATTATAAAAATTCACGTAGCAGACAGAGAGTAATAATCTAATGAACAAGCAATAAGACCAACTGAAGCACTTGAGCATGAAAATCCAATGCTGCTAAGTGGGGAAATCAGGCTATTAATGCAACAAGTGACTCTACATGTGGATGTATATTTCAGGTCAATCAAAACTTCTGCAGGGTTATGTTCCTACTTCTGAGGAAAACACAGGAAGAAGAAACTCAAAACTCCGGACTAAATTTTTTATGCCATTACATAAATATTACTTAAAACTGTAGGATGAGATGGACAGAAAGATCTTAATGCGGATGCATGCATAATGGGTTTGCAAGGATGGGTGGTTGGTGTCCTCATTAAGACTCTTCTAGCCCCAAGGAAAATGTGGAAGACAAGTTTGTACTGTTTCTATATAATGGCTCGCCATGTGGGTTTATATTGCATGTAATCAGTAATTAGTGTTGGCCATTTCTAATAATTGTGCCGTGTACCATTTTTCCCCTACAAGATATGTGCTGCAAAATTTCATGGATGATAACAGGTACCATGGCCATATGACAATCTACGAGATGTTCCCAGCTACGTGTATGGAAGCATTGACTCAGCTAACTGGGATTTCTTGAAATCGAATAATTCGATCTCAGTCATCCAAGCATCATAAAACAAAATCAATTTCTATTATTTCACTCAAGAATAGAAAAAATTAGAGAGAAAAATAAGTCATCCGTTTTCTCTCTCGTTCAACTATGCCATATAGTAAATGTAAATCCTACGATGCACCAAAGACAAAACAACGCGATAATTGAGGTGACAATTTTTTTTTTTCAGTAATCTATCTTATTCCGGGATACAAACATAAATGTCCACAGGATCAATGATTTTCTCATTATGACCCATTTAAGAAGAACATGGTCTCAAATGGAATAAACGGAAAGGAGAACAAGAAAAGCCACGAGATTTCAACAAGGAAGATAATCAAATATTGCCCATTCCAGACTTCCCACCTTTAGCATAATAGTGTGGTACATCAATAGATAAGCATTACCATATTTCTAAACTAAGCATTAGGAACCCACTAAAAAATGTGAATAAGCAACATTTTCTTTAGATCACACACATATTATACCAGATCACAACTTGAGTTCCTAACACACCTGACCGGATTAATGTCTCTCGATCACAGGTAAGTTACCCACAACCACCAAAAGCAGCTCAGTTCATGGTGAGGCCAACACACACAACAAACAAACTTAAACCTAAAAGGGCCGCAGTCAATACAAAAATTGGCCAATTAGTTCCCCTAAAACTGATTGAAGTTCAAGTTAATCAATTCACGAACTCATCTCATCCCCAACATTTTACCAATTTCGAATCATATTGCTTTATTTCCACACAATGCAACAAAACAAGCACAAAGTATCAATATCCGTTTCTGAATTTTACCTTGGGCTCGCCGTCAACATAAATAACGGCGCCGTCCCTGTAAGTGAGCAGCGACCGGCCATTCCTCGGGTTGAACCGGATAGGCACGCCCCGACCCGATCCGGGCGTGAAAGCGTAGATCGATTTAAATCCATACTTGTCCAGGATCTCGCGCACCTCGAGCTGGTCCTGATCCCACCCGGCCAGGCCCGTTTTGATGACGTCGATCGGGCCCTTCCCTTGCTTGTACACGTGCACCTCAGCCTCCGGGACCTTCGTGGTAACGGTTCGGGTCCTCGGAGGAATCGGGTCGGACTCGGAGGTCTTCTGCAACAACGGCACCGCCGCCTCTTCCTCGATTTCTCCGACCCGGTTGTTGTTCGCCATCTCTGTAATTGGGTTACGACTCTTGTTCGCTTGTTGTTATTTCTATTTCTATTTTTCTGTTAATATGCAGATGGGTGGAAATTGGAAATTAAAATTCCAAATTTTACCGTATTTTTTTTGATTTTATTATTTAAATCAAAAAAAAAAATTAACTGGACAAAAATAAAAAAAACTTGTCGACCAACATAAAACAGACGTATTCTGAGAATACGTTTTCAATTGCAAAACATATTATGAGAATACGTTTCCAAAGTAAAACGTATTCTCATTTACCGTTTTATAACAAATTAAATTATTAAACATGATTAACTTAATTAAATTAATATAAAACGTGATTAAGAAAATTAAATTAAAATAAAACGTAATTACATAATACGTTTTATAAGAAACGTTTTTCATAATACGATTTAAACACAAAAACGTATTTTAAACAAACGTTTTTTGTTTTTATATAAAATTTATATACTATAAAAATAATAAAATTTTTGAATTTTTTTTAATTGATAACGTATTGTCAGAATATGGTTTCCTTAAGAAAACAATATTTTGACAATACGTTTTCAATTAAAAAAATAAAAAGGTAAAACGTATTATGAAAATACGTTTTACTGTACCGAAATAGCAATTTTACAACAGAAATAAAATAGAACACATGTTTGTCGAAATCAATTCCACAACCAAATATTCAACCAAAATATATCAATTCACAAATAAAATTGAAGCACAATATTCAACAACCAAATATTCAAACAAAATTTAACCAAAATATATCAATTCCAAATATTCAACCAAAATATATCAATTCCACAAACAAAATTACACAAAAGTCAAGAAAAAAAATGTTCATAAATTTCCTAATAGTTGCTAGGAGTGAATTGATCCGGAGGTCTGCGCTCCCGGGAGCCTTTCCGACGCTGGTACGTCTGTAAAGAAGACGAGGCTGTGGGCGTGGCAGCTTCTTCTGTATATGAATAAATTATATTTTAAGAAAAATCAGAAACTCTACTTTACAATAAATAAAGAAATAAATAATTTAAAAATCATATTGTAGTTAAGTAAAAAATTTGACCTTCTTCTGCTTGTTCCTCAGGCACGGTATTGGGAGGCACGGTG